GTTGCCCAGGGTGCACCACGTGGAGGTAAGTCTATCGAACACCCTGCTCCATATTATAATGACTAAGCTCCGCGTCTGTAAAAACGGCACCCAAATAAACGTGTTCCACGTAGAAAGTGAACATGTGTGCAGATACCTCTCAGCCAACAAACACCACCAATTGCATTTAATAGTAAATACGCTTTGTGACAGTTGAAAAGTTGGAATACACACTACTCACTGCCGAAGTTCTCTCTACACATTACTCTGGATGCCAGAAGAACTTTCTAGAAGATTGTCGCGTCAGAGCCAAGGCTTATTAAGGAATATCCGTTTCGTACTCACAACAGATCTATTCAATGTACCAAAGCACAATGGATTCGATTCCTCCGCTTCTACAAAGTTCCACATACACTAGATATTTTAATTCGTGAACAAGGAAGTTTATTTCCATCCAGTAATTCTTCAAAATTTTGTAGATTTACATCATTCAGATTTCCCACCAAATCACATGGGTATGGTAGAATAAAGCACACTTAAATATTCTCGTTAAATGGCTTGACATCTTGCACCATTAATACTAAAATAAGGGGTGTGTGATAGACTTACCTCCACGTGGTGCACCCTGGGCAACGTATATTCATACGGCAAAAAAGTCTATTAACTGGCAGTTGACTTCTCACTTCAAACTACCATCACCTCAACATATGTCCTATTCGACTACTTCCATAGTACTCACCTCACCTTTTTTCTACCTTTGTGTCTGTCTCTTTTACATCTTTGAAACACTCTTCTGTTCCCCCCTCTCGACTTTTTTAATTTGATTTACCTTCCTCTCTGTGAAGCCCGAAGTCAACTAAAGGGCCAATGATAACCATCAAGACGCCTGCCATTTGATATAAAATAAAAATACGAAAATAATCTTTCCACAGAGCTATAATTTTAATACAGAGATTAAATCTTGCACCAAATTATTAATTAAGTTGAGAGCACTTAAGTATCTTTACCAAATGATACTTTTAATCAATTTAAGACGAAAGAAAAGCCAAATTCAAAGATATTAAACCCGAAAAGTTTATACTTTCTTCGACCCTTTCCATCTTGAACCGAATTTTTTCCGCTCGAATTGATCGCAGTTTGGGGAAAAACAAAGTTAAAAATAACTCATCTCCACTCATGCACAAGACACTCTTATAAAGGAATGTACTGGAAGCACTTGACTTTAGGAAGACACTCTGAGTTGGGTTTTTTAAGACTCATATTATACCACATTTTGTCAACCGTGTACCCGCATCACCAGAGATGCGAGGTCTTGTGACTCAGGAGACGTCTGCTCAACCGACCCGCGCAATAAAGCATTTTTAACTAATTTAAGGATCCTTAAAGTTATATCAATGGAAGGCCCTCATTGTGTAACTTTTTAGCTGGCAAATAGCAGTAAGTAGATTATTACTATTAAAAGAGGGATGCGCGATAGACTTGTTTCCAAGTGGTGCACCTTGGGCGGCGTATACTCATACGGCAAAAAATTTGATAAACCGACAGTTGACTTCTGACTTCAAATTATCGTGATCAGACTGCACATCATATTCGACCACTTTCATAGTACTCACCTTACCTTATTTCTGCCTTTGTCCCCACCTTTGTGTCTGTATATCTCTTTTACTTCTGCGAATCACTCTTCTGTTCTCTCTCTCGACTTTTTGTCACTTCAGTGTTCCTCCTCTCTGTGAAGCCCGAAGTCAACTAAAGAGCTAATGATAACTATCATAAAGACAGGCAAAGTAGGTCAATTTCTGGTTTATAAGGATTAGACAGAGCTCAATAACGTAAGTCCACATAACACACTCAGGGGCCTGCGGAAACGAAAATAGAACTTATTGCACTATTTAAATCGGCACACATCGGTACTATAGCCAATAACATGCCTGCCTTCAGTGTAAAAATATGTGAGAAGTATAGACCTCGAGCAAGAAAAAAAATCAAACGCCACGACAATGCTGATTAAGACATAGACACTATGATGCAAATTACTCAGTCGGACTCCATAATACAATTTTCTTATTCATGAGGAGTGTGAGAATGGTCTCTTAAAGACACCTGTTATAACAAAGTTTATACTCAAGGCACAGGGGGGAGGGGAGAACCTACCAGTCATGCCTATTAAATGGAAGCAACTATTATGAAAATTTAAAGAATCCAAACGAGATCACTTTAGATTCTCATAAAAATTGATTCTATATCCCCAACGCATGAAAGTGCAGCAACGGAGCATCTGAAAGTTAAGCCGATAAAAATTTATCGACGAGGAGGACAATCGCACGGGAAACAAATTAAAAACAATCAACAATTCTGCATCTAGGGTGTTTATCCTCTACACAAATTAATTATTGACAATACTTCATGTAACAGTGTTTGAAAGTTCAAAACACCTCAATTTGAAGATGTAGATCGAGAGTGGCACTCGTGCAATTCTAAGTGCCTCACGGGTCAATTGGTCAACAAAATAACCACGATCCCCTTTAAACGCGGTATTAAGACAACAACAACAACCGAAAGTTAGTTGAAGTTAGCAAGGAAAAGGGCCATGAAATCCGTCAATGCTAACAAGTACGTAATTAACGAATTAACCGAATATTTTAATTTCTCTCAAATAAAGTTCTAATTTTATCCAATATCAAACTTTCTAAATTACGCCGAATTTGCTTAAAAGGCATCACCTAAGAAGTCGTAAATTTTGGAAATAAGGAGAAAGAACCGATCCCACATTTACAGCAGCGATCGTTTTCGCAATTCAACAAGCATAAACTACAGAAAAATCATTAACGAATTGGGCGGGGAAAAAAACAGAAAATTAAATACAAATACCTTTCATTCACAAACACTCATGCGCTGTTAACACTTAATAGCAATCTTCTATTAAAACAACTTGAAAGCAGCAGCAGTAGCAGCCGGGAATGTTGTTGCCTCCCAAGTCCCACACGGCCTACTCGGACGATTTGGTAGGACTCATGAAAGCAATGGCATCGTCGAACATGAGGAGATGCGTGGATTTCCGGGAAACATCAATGGACGGAGCTGGCACTATGGGTGGCTGTGATGGATCATGCAGTCCAGCAACTGGGGAGGGTGCAATAGGGGTAAAGAATAAATCATCTTCTTCCTCTAAGTCCTCATTACCATTTTGGCCGTTATTATTTGTTGTCGGTGTTGCAGGTAAGTTTAAAGTCCCCTGAACACTCAGCCTTTCCAAACGCAAGGATTCTCTCCAAGTACGCTCAAAGCCCACACAATCTTCTGTAGCCGGAGCAACTGGATCTCTAATCAGTTGAACCCTCACATCACTATACTTTGACTTTAACGAGATCTGTGGTCGCTGAATTATTCCATTAGTAGCATTATTAGTGGCCGTAGATAGGAAATTTTCTTTCTTATTTGGCTTAATCTTTACTTGGCAGAGAGTGGCAAAAGTGTCCGGAAAAAGTGCTTGAGTCAAAGGAAGGGCTTTCATAGCAGCTTCTTTGGTGTCAAATTCGACGACAGCACACTTCTCCTTTCCGAGATAACCCAGATGATTAGCGGTTTTTATAAGATCAGAGGGGATCGGTCTCTTCGTATCGATGATGCGAACCAAAGTAACGCAGAGATCATGAGCCTAAATATCAATTAGAAATAGCAAAACCAACAAGCACATACCTTGAAAAATTTTGCTATCTGACTTATTGTAACAAGTTCGTTCGGCTTGAAATGTGTTATAAGCACTGATCTTTGATAAACCGATTTATCCCATTCAGGAAGTGGATTTCGTCGCCGAATTCGAGTACCTGAAGGGTAGATTATTTGATAAAAAGTATATTACCATCCTCAGAAACTTCCAGTTGCTCAGATCTTTGAAGCACTTTACGTATAAGATCTTCATCCGAAGTCAAAACTTGCACGCGTCTGAATGCAGCAACTATGGAGAGTTTCACCCAGCCTTCTTTATTAGATTTAACAGCCTTCAGTATAAATTGGTCTTTCAAAATGTTCGCATCAGAGAAATAGAATTCTATTTGTTTCAAGATTTTATATTCTAGGGCACTATCACAACGCCTTGTGGAGGATGATTCAACTTTATTTGCAGGTTCAGTAGAAAATGTTATCTGTACATTACTTGAGTTGTCCTCTTTTAAAACTTCTAGGAAAGAATAAACCTACGTAAACGACAAACCTGCACCCGCCATAGCCATAATCTCTTGGTCACCTGTTCCAAATCAGTTGAATCGACCGCGACCCACAGCACCGCTCAGCAGTGACCAATTTAACCTACACACCATCGTTTTCAAAGTACGGTTTTGTTAAACAAGGTATCACGCAATTCGTTTTAGTCTTTATCTTCAATATTTCATATATGCTACCTTTTATTCCTTACACGAGATATATGGTCAAGATTAATTTATTCCGCTATAAATTTGTTATAATACATGTATCTCTTTATATGCATTTTCATGAAACTTGAAGACAAAAAGTCGTAGTTATACAAATCTGTTTTAAAAAAGATTTAAATGTTTAAACTTTAAATCTTGTATTTAATTTACAATTCGTTTAATGACATAATTGGCTTTTTATAAAACTTGGAATAAATAAACATCTAACATTAAATTAATATGTACATCGGCACGGTTTCTCGCACAAGTTACTTAAAAAATACTATGTTTCTTTGTTAAGTCACCAGATAACTTGAATCTTGCCTTTATCAATCCATAGAATCTTAAAGTCATAATTATTCCAGAATCCATCAGTGTCGGATTTTCGGTACATTAATATTTTTAAAATTAATCACTTATGATTAAAAATATCAGTGGAGATTAGAATTTGGCAAGCTTCGGTTAATGTGCTCTATTTAGGGGCAATCACCAAAGTTGAAATAATTTTTTTGATAAATATTTGGTTCTCACCCTTTCGATGTCTTTGAATGAAATCCAGAAGGTTTCTACTTCTCTAATTTAATGGACGGCAAACGAATTTCTAAATCTGAACCTGAAGCAGTTTTCAATGAAATTATTAACTTCTTAATTAAACAAGCAACTTCATCCAAATAAAGGGCGCATAACTAGAGCTTAGAACTTTCACAGACATTAACGCTTGTATTAACCGTTTTTCAACTAAATAATTTTAATGTTTAAAGTGAGTTAGTAAGCACACAGTGGGAGAAAGCTAAGTCACGTCGCATGTTCAGTATGGACCTGACACCACAATTTATTGAATTAGCTATTATGCCTGCATATAACGACTATATTTCCCCACCGACATTTATGTTACTTTTATCTATAAACTGCAATGTGCTATGTAAATGTGGTATTTCTTCAACACCTGGCACAATTTCACTTATTTACGATAAAATAATAATGTGGCACGCACTATCTATGCAGATCCTATTAGAATTTTTAGTGCTTTTAGCGGCTTTTTCTCTTTCTATCAGTTAAAGCAGTGAGATATAAGCGTTAATAATACAGCCCTATCTGTACCTAACTTATAAAATGGAAATCATAGGTTCCATGGTCATTTAATAGCATTTGAATATGGCATATAAAAAATTTTTAGATTAATAGTCCAGTTCAGGGCCAAATTATAGCCAGCACGAGGCACTAATTATGACCTAAATGAGAAACTTTTTATCAATAAATTGCATTTAAGAATATTGTGTCATTAGTCAATCAAATTTGGGTTAATGATTATAATCATATGCTAATCGCATAGTATTCCGTGTGTCATCTCCTAAGAATTTGTTATTAAAAGGTTACTATACACGCGTATTGAAAGTCGAATTTTTTCAATGAGTGTAAAACACGATTTTTAAACACTACGAAATATATTCTTAAAATAAAATATTTTTTAAATAAAACTTTAAAAGATAATACTCAAAATTAGACCATTTCAAGATAGTTGAGCAATGACCAGGTGGTGGTGGAAGGGTAGGAATATTGGCTTTATAAAATCGAAATCTGATTGAAAAATGCATAAAATATAAATGAAGTATACTCTTCAATAGGTTTACTAAAAAGAGTCCATGTTAGCTATATGCTACTTCCTTTAAATGTATTGAAATTTAGCAACATTCATTTATAGAATTTGGAATATTAATACGTGGGCTCAAGTTGAAGCAAATGAGTCATTATGTCACCAAAAAAGACTGCACGTCTAAAAACTGCTAATATTGTAGCACTAACAATCAACTAGAGTATAACTATGCTGCTGTCAAGTTCATATTTACGGTGTTTTATATATTATTATTTCAAACGGCAGGCTTTATGATATTTATCATTTATTTATTTCAAATGGCAGGCTGTATGATATTTACCATTAGCCCTTAAACTTTGACTTCAGCTTTCACCATGGGTGGGGGGTACATTTATAGCAGTTAATTAATAGGAATTCATTAGCTGTCTACTTGCTTCCCAGTATCTCTGGCTTTCTGCCGTTGCCTTTAGGGCTGGACACCGAATCAGGTGGGTCTTCTCCATTTCCTCCTGTAGTTTACATAGAGTGTATGTGGGTTGAGTGTATACTCCCAATCTGTGAAGGTGTTTTGCAAAGCAATCGTGTCCGGTACGTAGTCTAAACTCAGCAACGGCTTCGATTCTTGCCCAGTCGGGTATGTCAGAGAGTGCCATTGTCCACTGTTTCTCCTTTGTTCGAGCTTTGAGTTCGTTGCACCTTGAGGTCTGGAATTCTCTTCTGATTAAGGCCTTCATTGTGTGGAAAGACATCGGCCGGTCCATGCATTGCAAAATCGTTGTCCCCTTCTTAGCAAGTGTGTCAGCAAGCTCATTGCCTTTAATGCCACAGTGACCAGGAATCCATTGTAAAACCACGGTTTTGTTTTTCTCTCTCAGCAGCTCATAGAGTTTTCTACATTCCTTTATCATAGCTGTTTTGGATGGCTCTCTGTTTCCAACAGAGTTTATTGCTAACTGTGAGTCCGAAAGTATCACCGCTTTTGTGAATTTCGTATCCAGAAAATATAATTGGCATAGTGCTATCCTAATGGCCTCTATTTCTCCTTCGAAAGCGGATTTATTGTGTCCCACTGCTGCGTAGAAAGAGAAGACTTCAGAATAGACACCTGCACCAACATTTGCTTGATTTTCTATGTATGACCCATCAGTGAAGACATGAAGCCATTGATCTCCGGGATAGTTGACATTGATTGTCTCAAGGGCCAGGGAGTGAATTTGCACTGGAGGGGTGTTTAATTTCCTGAAGAAGTCTAGCAGTTGGGTGCAACACACTACATCAGTGTCTGCTAATGGGTTCATGGGGAGAGAGTGGCTTTTTGGTTTGCCATCTCAATATGTTCATGGGGAGAGAGAGGCTTTTTGGTTTGTCATCGATTCGTAATTCTTTCTTCAGGTCTATGGCTTTCAGTATTAGACCAGATTGCGTTTTCAGATACTCATGGGTGCTGAAGAACTTATCCATGGGAATGTACAGTGGCTTCTCATACAGGATCAAGGCCTTTTCTTTGATAGGGAACATATTGTAGTGCTTCCTGTAACTAGGAGCATGGCAACAACATATTGTGGTGCTTCCTGTAACTAGGAGCATTACATCGCTTATTGTGGTGTTTCCTGCAACTTGGAGCATTGCATCAATGAGTGTTGATTTTATCTTTGATAAGGGAACATATTGTAGTGCTTCCTGTAACTAGGAGCATGGCAGGAACCTATTGTGGTGCTTCCTGTAACTAGCATTGCATCAATGGGTGTTGATTTAATCCCTCCAGTAATTAGTCGTAATTCTTGGTAGTGTGCCTTCTCGAGGGGTTTGAGAGTCACCTCTTTGTGGCCGTATCCCTCCATTAATTAGTCGTAATGCTTGGTTTTGGCCGTCTATCCCTGAACATGTGCATTGCATCAATGGGTGTTGATTTTATCGCTCCAGTGGGAACATATTGTAGTGCTTCCTGTAACTAGGAGCATGGCAAGAACATATTGTGGTGCTTCCTGTAACCAGGCGCATTGCATCAATCTTATTGTGGTGTTTCCTGCAACTTGGAGCATTGCATCAATGGGTGTGATGTGTTTCCTGTAACTTGGAGCATTGCATCAATGGGTGTTGGCACTTCCTGTAACTAGGAGCATTGCATCAATAGGTGTTGATTTTATTCCTCTAGTAATTAGTCGTAATGCTTGGTTGTGTGCCTTCTCGTATTGATATGAGAGTCACCTCTGTGGCTGTAATGAGTGGCTCACAGTTGAATGTCACCTCTGTGGCTGTAATGAGTGGGTTACAGAAATACAACATTATTGGCTGAATAAACATCTTGTAATGGTCCTAGAGTTGAGCGCGCACAGCCCCATACGCTACCAGCAAGACGCTTCAGTCATAGTCTATTAGCGACTCATTCTGCTATTTTAGCAATGTGACTTTTCCACGTTATGCTACCAGCAAGACACTTCAGTACATTCAGTCTATTGGAGCTACCAGCAAGACGCTTCAGGACATTCAGTCTATTGGAGATCGTTCTGGTATTTTAGCAATGTGACTTTTCCACGTTAGCTTTGTGTCAATCGTCATTCCAAGATATGTGAGCTCATTGGATTTTTCTATGGTAGTATCGTTGTACCTTAGAAGCGGGTTTATGCTGTGA